TGACTTGGTGACGAGTTCCCATGACTTTGTGAAAAATTGCCAAACATGTTTATTCGACGACAAATTCTCGTTCTTGGTCGTGTTTTTGTTGTTGCTGTTTGTTTACAAAAAGGGGAAATGCTGTAAAATGAGAGATTTGCTGTGTTTCGAGCAAATAATATCGAGTTCGAGTGGTGGGTCGGCACGACGAACCATCGGTGATCGCTAGCAAGCTGACGGCAAACTTCTCCGTTAACACAAGAAAGTCGACCCCGTCCGTACTACCAAATGTAATGGGCCTGTAATGGGTCGGTGACGACAAGCTCAGAAACTAAATGAAAACGAAAGAAGCTGGGATATACAGTTGAAGAACACTTTATTATTCATAAAGTAAGCCGAAGCTCCAGCAGTTACAAACGAAGATCAATAATTTTAGAACATTTTAATATAGCTGATTCTCTCAGAGGCTGGGCGGCCCTATGGACAATTAAAACTAGCAGCACATCATGAATGTGGTAACGGAATGAAATAAAAATCATCTTCAAAGTCCCGCACATGGCATTTAAATAATCCGTCACCCAACGATGCTTTAATATCACATGATATTTTAGCCAATCAGGAGGACCCTTACGAAGAGAACGAATTACAAGATAGGATATATAAAATTACCATTAGGTCATCCGACTTTTAGATAAGTTCAATCCACCAATTAAGAGAGGAGTTATACATAAATATAACCAATGACAGAGCATAATAAAAAGAGTTTCTTGAATTAGGCACGGACGAAAATGGGAGGAGTCTATTTCTTCGCGAGAATGTTAGGTCCCCGGTAAAACAGTATTGTCTAACGTATTCATCGGAAATAAACACCTGTAAATCTTAATGCAGGAATTCATTTCCAACGTGCTTATCGGAAATGAACACTTTAATCTAATGCAGGAATTCAAGACCAGGGGTTGTTTACCCGTTCCCGGCATACTATTGGAAACATAATTAAGGCGAGGCGTCAAAAATATCGATACCAGCAGGCTGCCGCCTCACGTATTGGCGCATCGAGGCTGCAATTACGGCCGAAGCCTGGCTGCATGGGTAATTATTTTTCACTTATTAGCCCAGCCGGTTTGCGCCAGGCTGGGATCTGAGGCTCGGTTTCCATTCAAAAGGCGGCAGCCGGCGCATGCTTTTGAATGCCATTTCCTACCGCCAGCGGTAGCCGGCTGAGCTAATTTTAAAAAAAAGGAGCCAGGACGCACAAGTGCAGTTAGCTGCCGCTGGCTGGTATATTTATTTTTGACGCCTCGCCTAACGCTATTTAACTTTTAGATGTATACCAAGTTAAACTAATAACCGTACAACTGATCAACTCAACCCGACTCCTCTATTGCTCTAGCGCCCCCTTTAGGTCAATGAATTGCCCAAATCATCGTACCACTAAACTGTTAAAAACTTAGGTTATAGGAAGAGCTTGCCGTATTAAAACATCTGTATTACCCTTAAAGTAGATATTCATTGATTATAAAAACTAACTTTATTTTCATTATTGCAAAGTTGAAACTTTGATTCGGCAAGGTTATCAAAATTCAATGCTTGGAAAAATTCGAAGTAATGATTATTATAAATTACAAAACGTTTAAATACAGCCCTGGCATAGCACCTGAAGAGCTCTCCGAACGCTGCTGACATGTGTGAGATCACAGTATGGACATGACTTGCACAAGCAGACGATATCCAATGACATCTCACACATTTTCAGTGCGTGTTTTTTTATTTTCTCTTGAGTTCTTTCTCTTACTTCACTACCGTCAGGCTAAATGTATAATCTATTGCCTCACTCTAAACCCCGCGCATGGTTTTATTTTATTGACAGATGCAGCGATGCAAAAATATAGGAATATGTCGCTAGTAAACAAAGTAAGACGCCATTGTATATTCAGTTTTACACACCGGGGTATGTTCGGCGTTTCAAGAGGGAACAAATGCGGGGGGGGGGATTCAATTTGAAAGTCTGGTTTCTTTGATTGTTAATTAACCCCTATCCTGTGTATCTACAAGCAAACGATTTTAGTTATCAGAATTGGGTCATATCCCCTTTTGAATGGTTTGACATGCCATTACATTTATATACACTAAACTCATTATAATTTGACAAATAATAGCTTTGCAATTATGTTCATTCTCTATGGGATGTCGTCTGCTTGGGCAGTGTTGGTTCATATAGTCATTAAAACATCGTTATTTTTCCGGTGAATCTCTCTTATATCCCAGCTGCTATGGAGGTGGTTGTATTTGTATTTTTATAAATCACCCGATATGTAGTTGACCTAAAACTTGTACGATGGCCATCTGTTAGCTTACAAGTTTCTAGTGATACATTAGTTGACATATTTGTGATCTTCTTTGAATTTCACCTGTTAGTTCTGCGTTAAACGCCCCCCTACCAAAACACAAAAAAAAATCAGTCCCATTGTGGTATCGATCGCTGCGATAATGCCTAACAAATGTATACATGAAACACAAAGCGCACATGACGTGTGCGTGGTACAGCGATTGTATGTATACAATATGATGTATTCCCTCATCAAATTGGCAAGTCGACACGTCAATGCACTTTGAACTGGCTTCCGTATGTACGCGTGAGTTGGTGACAACTTGATTCAACCGATTTTATTTTATACCACCGCTTTTGCTCTAGGTTTTCCCAATTTCATGAAACATGACAAATCTATTATTTTTGTTGTTGGTTTGTCTTTGATTGTCACTACGGTGCTAATTGATGTCCGCCTCCACCTATTTAAGGTTTACTTGCTAGACCTCACTGTCGGACACTATTAAGTGACTGACTGGCTTTTTTCTTATAACATACATAAAATGAGCTGTTAAAGGGTACATGAGCATTTGTCTACATCAATAACCCACTTCTTGTGATGGCCAAAATTAAACTGATTGAATCTTTGCGCAGCATCAAACGTATGACCATTCGGTACAATGGTCTGAAAATCAAGACTATTACTTTTTGGCTCTATAGCTCCTAAGTCGTTATTTTCCCACTTGAAGACATTTTCAACCCCCACATTTTTAGGGAAGTTCTAAATTAATATTATCTTTCAAATGCCGTTGGAATTCAACCTTTTCGTTTGTTGGGCCTGCAAATGGGACATAGTACCTTTAAAGGCAATTGATGATTTACTGGAAAATGTGGCTGATATTTATTCTTAGCCTCGGTCGCTAATATACTTCTGCAACCAAGAAGGACATGGTTGTACAACTACAGTACGATTTGAAACATTCAGTTTCCTCTCCAACTGTTATGGGTTAACGGTTAATTTTGTCTCACTATGATGCCTTAAAATTACTGAAGCCTCAAGAATAGCCATGTGTTTCTCATGTGGTTAAATATATTAGTGATAGACTCAAACATTGAAATTAAGGACAGAAACTAGCGTGGAATATTGTGCTTCCACCATTTAACATGGAGAGAATTATTGTAAAACTTGTGTGTGTGCATTTTGGTGGAGGGCAGATTGTGTGATTCAAATAATACATTTGAATTTCATACCACAAATCAAATATCGGTTGATCATTGTTTAAAATCACTCATCCGTTTATCCTTCTGTGCATGGTACGTGCATTTAGATACAGAATTTCCTACCCACCATTGTCAGTAATAACTAGACCTACTGGCCCGAATTCACAAAGCAAGGTTTGAGCTCAGACCAAGGTTTATGTGCGTCATATGACGCGTTTCAGGTTTGAGTTCAGACCTTGGTCTGAAATGCATTTCACAAAGGAGGTTTGAGCTCAGACCAAGGTTTTCGTACGTCATATGACGCGTTTCAGGTTTGAGTTCAGACCTTGGTCTGAAATTGCATTTCACAAAGCAAGGTTTGTCTTCAGACCAGGTTTATGTACGTCATCAGACCCGAAATTTACAGACTGCTCAGATAGGAGGTTTGTAATTTCTCAAACCTGGTTTGAGAGCTATCGACCAATCAGAATGCAGCACTGGGTGGAGATAATTTATGCTCGATTGATTTTATCCAAATAATTCACCGCCAAAACAATCTGCGATAGTATCTGGTCAGCCCGATTTTAGTGCAATTGAAATCTCTCAATCTCTCGATCCTTTCCTTAAAATCGTAAGTATAAAACCTGTACATGTAGTCGAATTCATACTCTTCACGATATTGACATTTCACTATTTGATATGCTTTATAACTTTCCATTTTCCATGAAATGTTCGGTGTTTTCATATCCGACGGCCTCTCAATTCCAGAGTTTAGGGACTGAGTCTGAGGGAGCTCGAGTCCAACGCCCAAGGCGGCGGCGGAGCTCGCACCCTCTGACCCTGGGCTGGAGTTGGGCCTAGCCGGGCCGGGCCTACAGTAGATATCTGTATGACTGTCATGTTTAATTTTGTCTTGTTGTCAGCAATGCCATGACACATGCCAATTAGACTAGGCCTAGACCTACACTAGTTATTACAAATTCATGATAATGATAATAATACCAGGCTCTAGCTTAGGCCTGGCAATGATGTCCATCACTTGACTTGGACACTGGTACCTAAATAAATAGAAATTGAAGTGGCATCAGCAATGCCAATGTTCCCCAAAATGAATCACACTGACAAGCATAGATCTAGACCAAAAGCTTCAGTCTCTCTATATTGCCAGTTGTTCACTGAGACTACGTCTGGCTCCAAACTAGACCTCCGATTATAGAATGTCAACAAATGTCAGTTTTATTATTTTTATTAAAGAAATGACCCACATCAGACGGTTATTTCTGTTTATGAGTCATGACAAGCAAAGCTTTTATTAAATTTAGATCTGGTTCTAATTGTCTTAATTAACTGGCTTAGTCTCCAGAGCCAGGATCACCCACAAAGTCACAAGCACAAGTAACATTTCTTTATTTTAAAAACATTGTTTAAACATTTGTTTCATTTTATCTTCACTCTAGTAAAGATGGGAGAAATGCAGCTGATTCAGCATAATGAGCTGGTGTACCTGGAGGAGGAGCTGGAATATATAGCAGCACAACTGGGCAGAGGCCTCTGAGATTGGGAAAACCCGCTGGATGATGAGCCTTTTGTTTTAGATTGAGGTAGGCTACTTTGAATTCAAATTTTGTATTGGGAAAGTTGGCGAAAACATGGCCAAACTACTTGATGAATATTGTTAACATAGCTATAAAAAAGGGCTTCTGTTGTAAAAATCCAACCCTAGTGTCGTTATTAAAATCAAGAAATATTTCAATTCATGTTGACCGCCTAAATTCACTGTTCGTTTGCCCCGCTCCGCTGGTCTGCCTACGACCGTGCAAGCCCCTAATGCCATGCACATGTGAGTTTACATAAATTTATTCAATTTCTAAGCATTTTCTGTCATATTCCATACATTGAAAGATTAGTTATGATATTTATTCTTTTACATGGTAGGTGATGAAAGCATTAATTTTCATAATTTGTGTGTGGGGCATTTCCCAATACTGTTATTTGGCTTTAATACATGAGGAAATTATTCAGATTATGTGTTGGAAACAAATTTGTGATTTGTTGCTTAAATTTCACAAAAGGTGAAGCCGTGAAGGAGATTAGAAAAGGCTTAGACAATTTTGTCTTTTACGTTAATTTGATTCACACAACATCTAGAAATCAGGATTTTTTTTTTTTTAAGTGACAGTGACAGTTGGGGATGTAAAAATATAATAGCATAAACCAGCAAAAAAATGATATATTTGAATGCTTGTTTTTTAATTTTTTTTAAAAGGTAATTCGATCTAAAGGATGCACCGTGAGGAGGCGGCATGCCGTGTCATATTCATCTGTTTGCTGAATGGAGAGTAGTGAGGGATGTTTCCGAAGCTGTTGTCAGAAGAAAGGGACAAGTCATGAAGTTTCCTACAAGTTACAACAAGGCAAAAAGTGACTACTATTCAGAAGCAGTTTTTCCAGTACTGCAGATTTCCAGGAGTTGCTGTTGATGGGACACATGTTTACATCAGGAGCCCTGGTGGGGCAAGAGCCAGGTACTACTTCAGGTGAGAATAAATGAATACTTCATGACTGGATCCAGCACGGCTTTCCATTTAGACCTTTTTTTTGTACCTTGCAAAATTTTCACATTAGTTATATACACTCTCCAGGCTTGTGTGTTGTACATCCATGCTAGCTAATTCATTGGTGACCAATGAAAGATTTCTAGTGGCCAAATGGATATTAAGGTAATATTCGCGTACAGGTACTCATTTCACTGCCTTTGTAAACAATTAAGAATATCCAATGGATAGTTAAACTTAAAAATCCTAACACTCGTTAATATCTTTTTAACGAAAGGGAAATTTGAAAAATCAAAACTTGTTCTATCCTTCTATTGGCAATACGGATATGACCTCTAGATTTCTGATATTTTGTTGATGGCCATGGCAATTGGGCCACTGTTTTTGCCATTGATCAATGAAAGAAAAAACAACAAAGAGAAGCATGTAAACTGATCAATGGCAATTACCACTATATATTTTAAACTATAGAAAAACAAACAGGTTCATTTCCAATAAAAAGATGCGAGAGTGGGTACCCCCCCCCCCCCCCCCCCCACACACACAAAGCATTTGTTGTTTTAGGCTCGAAATGTTTTGTTAAAGGTGATATTATTTTTGTTTACATTGTTACAAGATAAACAATGAAAACTAGTTAAAAATGAAGAAATACTTCATCAGTCAATAAATATAGGGTAATTAGCATTTTCTTCCAATTTTTGTTGTATAAATAGATATTGAAAAGCAATTATCACATATTCAACTGCATTTGCATTAATTACCATAAATAACAAGTGAAATTTATACATTTCACGGCCTATCTGAAGTGTGAAATGAGTGAGTTTTCATAACTAATGAATGCCAAGATGTTATTTCATATTGACAGGTTGTCTGTGATTATGCTGGGAAAATAACTAGTATCGTTGCAAGGTGGCCTGGACTGGTAGCAGCCACGATGCCAGGATCTTTTCTGAGTGTGCACTGAATTGACAGCTTCATGCTAGGGCATATGAATAACAGTTGATTCTTGGAGATAGACTATAGGGTAGGTAGATTATTTCTTCATATGAAAACATTTGTTTATTCTTTTTCTTAATCAATCTTGTTTCCGTTTTTGTATTTGGCCAACATGTGACATGTTAGGAATGTTCATTTGGTAATATAGTAACAACTCGCGTTAAGTAATTAATTCAAACGAGCTCATGTGCTTTTAAATTTCAGTTCACAAATCACAATTAATGTTTTTGATATCTGGATGCAACTTGAGGTAGTTTGTTGTCAAGTGGAACCTCATAGTTTTTGTATTGGTGACACAGGATTGAATAATTCCTGATTATGTGTACAATACATTGTATCCTTTCTATAGTATTACCCCCCCCCCACCCCCCCCCCCCTCCAAGAAAAAAAATGAACAAGTTGAAATTAAGAATATTGTTTATGATATTGTTTATTTTGTCCATTCGATTTTGCAGGTATCCATGCCTTCTCTGTCTCATCAGAAGCCATTTCTTCATTCAGAGGCCATCTGTACTAGTTCAGCCAAAGAGGATTAGACAACCCAGCGAGGTCACTGACGGGAGGCTATCTCATCAATTCAGTTCTCAATTAACATAAGAAAAAGAGGATCATGGGGGAATTAACAGGCACAGATTGGGGAAGTTTTCTATATAGAGGGAGCAAGTAGCTACAAGTAGTACCGTGGGGCTTTAACACTTCACACACAAAAAAGGGAGATGTGTGATTGAGCGCATATTTATTAAATGCAATGATGAGGACGTTCCATGCCTCATCAATCTAAGAGAGAAGGTCGACACTTCTTAATTATTTTTATGCTTTCCTGTTGCCCTTATTGGGGAAATTCACGTTGTGCAAATAAAGCATTGGTTTGGCCAAGTATAGCCTAAAACAGCTAACACTGGAGCTTACTAACAAGCATTTATTGCTTTCTTAGCTGTCAAGTAAAATAACCACCACTATCTATCTATTTAGTGAGCTATACATTATTTAATTAAGGATTCCACACAAAATTTCAATGTATACGGTAATAAGCTATAAAATACAGATTTAACTCAATTGCAACTGGAATTACCTCAAAATGTATTTCAAAATACGGCCCCTCCCTGGTGTTCCCACAATACTTCGTAGTTATGCAGCATTACATCAAGAACCTGGGTGTTGAGCTGTTGATTATTTATGAATATTTTTGATGTTATGTTTAGTTGATAAGTATTTGTTGTCACTCTGACGGTATTTGTAATTAAGTGTTCTCTATAGATTAAATGCACCCGATTTAACTATAATTAGCATTGTATACACTGCTGAGTTGAGGGGTGGGTCAATATAGATTATTTGGTTGTCAGCTAGGGGAGAGTATTCGAACAAATATTATTTACTGTACTAAGCGAAGTCAGAATTAAAGAACTTGTATGTGCAAATTTGAATTTTCGTCACCTATTTTGTTGTATTTCTGATTTTCTTTCTGCTAATAGCGCTACAGTGAGACTTTTAATTGGCCTTCCAGAGCCTCTCTTAACCTCTAGTGGGCTATATTTCATATAAGCATGCTACAAAATTTACAAATGTGAACTGCATTGTTTGCACAAACGGTAGATTACTATTGTGTTGTATGCTCAATTATTTATGTAAAACATGAAAATACAAATACAATATTCTTGCTTTCATATATTTACAAAGATAACTGAAATAGATATGTGTCAGATTATCTCTCTCTCTTTCAGCTCCCTTTTTTTTGGGGGGGGGGGGTGCAGATGTGTGTGTTTGCAGTTTGCATGGTTTTGCATTATGTGTTTCATTGCAAAAAAAGAAGAAGAAGAAGAGAGAGAGAAAGATGAATAGAGAGAGAGGGGGGAGAAAGAAAAAGAATTAATAGAGAGAGAAAAGGAGAGAGAGAGAGAACAAAAATGGGTATAGAAAGAGAGAGGAGGGACGGGAACAGAGAAAGAGACAGGGAGGGAGAGAGAGAAAGATGAATAGAGAGAGAGGGGAGAAAGAAAAAGAATTAATAGAGAGAGAAAGGGAGGGAGAGAGAACAAAAATGGGTAGAAAGAGAAAGGAGGGACGGGGACAGAGAAAGAGACAGGGAGGGAGAGAGAAAGAAAAGATGGCCATAGAGGAATTTTTTTTTAAATTAATATTATATGGAAACAAATCATTTACCAGTAACAATTTTGATGTGAAAAAATAGCCAGTTGGGGAAACAAACGGGGAACTAGTTAAAATAATAATTGATTGACCATTCTAACAAAATAACTATGTAGATCTATAGTAATTAACAATTGCAATCAAATGAATTAATATATTAATCGCAATAAAAACTTAATTCATATTAAATCATTATTATTATTATTATTATTAGGTGATTTCATTGATAAGAATTTGTAACCCCCAAAACAATAAGACTCTTACAGTTAATTTAAAAGAGCCCTTGACAACCTTAGATGTATTTATCTAACGAAGGTTTTCAGGTGCCGATGTCAATTTGTTCTGGGTCAGACTGTGTTTCACCAGCACCACACAAATGTGAGTATGTGGGGCACTTTCTGCATCGGCGCGCCAGTTTGGTTCGATTAATTCATGAAAATGCAATTCAAAAGTTTATTTCAGAGATGTTCTAACCATCATCTTTTCAAGATTGCTCATTAAGATGTCCGGATCGTACTAAGAATGCTTAGTTTAACAGTTTTTTCAATTCTTAACATTTAAACCCTAGCCCATAAAAATTATGTTAGAAACCCTATGGCTGAGACTAGTTTTACAAACCTTGGTCGGAGGTTTGGGAATTACAGACAAAGGTTTATTTATACAAACCTTCCTTTGTGCAAACCTTGGTCTGATCAAACCGGGTTTATCCTCAGACTTCCGTTGTGAATTCGGGCCACTATGTCGCATGCTTAAATAAACAGAATACGTTGAACTTGAATGATATTGAGCGTATAATAAAACGTGTTTGTTCGCGTATTCAGGGCGACATATGTACAAAGATGGCCACTGTCAGCTCTGTGATTAGAAATAGAAATGATGAATTACGGCATGAAATCTTGTCGTACAAACCGGGAAATGCCGTACCCTGTGATGATGAACGAGTGGTGTTTCCTGATAAGCTTGTCATCAGTATGATATGTCCGCATGGGCATGTGCCCGGCATAGTCCCTGCTCTGAGGCGCGCTCTGGAAGGAGACGCAAGGTATAGCAAGCTTGCTGATAAACGTCGTCAAACATCTACTAAGAATGAGGAGGAATATATCACCGATTTCATATCTGTCATCACGAAATATGGTTTGTATATTTGTTTGTTTGTATATTGAAAATCTTATAATTTTGGTGTTGTTTTAATTCAAATGAAGCAACACTTCTACGATGAACATGTAACTATTGGATAGCATTATTCTTTAATAATCAAGTTCGTGGTATGGTTTTGGTAAAATATTGAATTGTGTTGTTAGTATTACTAAACCAACGGAATACTCGTTTTCTCTCAATAAACTGGCGTTGTGAAGAATGTATATAAACTCGTCGGGTAAAACAATTCATTTTCTTTCCTTCCTATTTTGCTCTTCTTTGTCTCTAAACTAAGTACGAAAAAGACCGACGTCACCAGTGACCACCTTGTAGTGAATAATCATGACTGTTTTACTTAACATCGTTATGATCCTAAGTGGGCTTACTTTACCTTTACGTTGATGGGATACTACACTACATAAAAATCAAACGTTATTCAACACTGTCATGGCTTTACTCAGTCGCTTGAATTGTATAATCATATGTGACCCGCTACGGCAAAACCCGACGCTTCTCGGCAAATCCCATTGTGTTGTAGGCCCGTTTGAACATGAAATTTCGAATTTAGGGATCAACTGAGATTTTTGCATGGTCAGAAAGTCTATTTTTTATAAATTGATTTAGAGAAAAAATGAACTCAAAAGACGATCTAGAAGTATTTTTAATTATATTTTGTATCTAATCATGTGCTCCATTGTCCAGTGAAATTAGTTGAAACAATGCGGTCAAAAGAGGGGAAAGTTCGTGATTCATCGCTTGTTGTTTTCCCTCTCAGTTTATCACGTTTGAGTCGATCCCTGACGTACTTGGTACGAAAATAACGAGAAAGGATCGGTTATTCCAAATATGGTTATATTGGGCGGTCCTAAATAAAATTGCCCAATGAAAAATGCCATAAAAGATGACATCATTTCGATAAGCTGTCAAGCAGGCCGTAAACAAAAGCCCGTTGCCAGCCACGTGATCCAAATCCAGACACTTGATTCGCCAATATTCGCACATGACGTCATTGCCTTGTTGTTGTGATTGTTCAGCGGTCAAATTCTCGCATCGAAACACCAGCTTTTTCTTCGAAAACTTGTTCAGAAGTTTGTTTTTAATGAGCTAGAGTTTCATATATCAAGTGAAATACGTGTATTCGTCGAGTGGCTAGTACAATGTCGAGGAAAAAGAGGAATTTAACGGATAAAACCGTCGCTTCTTTGTTGAATGATGCATCGGCGTGCGGTATGGACGTGCATGGCTTGACCGAACACTTGGCTGACTACTTCGCGAACCCGACCGAGCCCCTGGCCGCGGGCGAGAGAGGAACTCCTTCTTCTCCTAGGCCTAGCTCCGACTCTGAATCTGGTAGGTTTATTAATATTATCATTATTAAAAAGGTAATCAAGTTACTTAATTAGGTCTACGCCCATATTATTTATTAAAGACTTGTTTCGAGAAAAAAATGTTCGAGCAACAAAAGCTAGATTACTTTATTTTAAGTGCACTAATTAAAATTTATAATTAAATTAGATTATGATTTATGAAGCTTCTCATACCGATAAAAAAAATCTCTGCGGAGTCTAGACTTCTTGTTGATATTAGTTTTTGAATCTCTATTTTATAATTGTACTTAACAGAGTCTGATGAGTTCGAGGAGGCAGGTCCAGGACCAGCAGAGCCTTGTGAAAGCCGCGATGAAAGCGGCGATGAAAGCGATTGGGTCGATGAGGCAGAGGAGCCTATGGATTTGTCAAGTGACAATGAAAGCGTCATACGGAGACCGGGTCCTGTCATTGATGACGTGGAGGAGGAGGCGGCAGCGGCTACAAATCTGGCCCAACAAATAGATCTTGATCTGGAACCGCTGAAGGATCGCGTGAATAAATGCAACTGCCGTATCTTCAATGGAAGACGCTGTATAGAACAATTCTCTGTAGCCGAACAAGAGTCCATAAGGTATGATTGGATCTGTCACTATTTACTCCTATTTCTTTAAAATAATGTCTAAGGACTGGATGTTTATGTACAAGCTGCAGTTTAATGCAAAATATAGTTACATTTATTCTAAGCTAATTAGATTTTCTCCTTTTTTGCAGCATTAATCAGTAGACCCTGAATATGTATGCTTTTATAAAATACTTCACCACTAAACTGCAGTCTACTGGTATCTTATGAAGAAAAAAATACAACAAGTTGGACATTTGGTTTTCTTAATTATCATTGGAAGTAGATACTAGTAGCATTATTATTTTTCATTTCTATTTTGCCATTTCAGATATTCAACCAAAGAGCTCACGGAGTTCGAAAAGGATTTACTTCTCCTGGGTATCATTTCGTCTTCCATCAATGATGGAAATATGACCCAGGGGAAGAAATCTAAGCCAACGGAGAGGAAAAACACAAGGATGCGGAATTTTTGCTATGGGCAGAAACGGATCTGTAGATATACGTTTTTCTACTTGATGGAGATTGGGCCACAGAAGTTTACGAATCTCAAGAAGTGGTATGCCAGCAATGGACTCATCCCAAGGAGAAAGAAGTCAGGTGAGGTGGTTTTCTTATCCTTTCACAGATGATGAAATTTATAATGAAGTTAACATTATTTTAATTACATTTATATTGAATTATTATTATCTTCAGGTGTGACTTCATAATAATTTGTATTATCATTTTGTGATGCATTTAGTCATAGTAAATCTACCAAAGGTTAATTGCGATGGTTTTTTTGACAGTTATTTTCACTACAACTTGACTCAAAACTTGACATCTAATCCCTCTACTTACTGTTTCAATCTATTCCGACACAATACTGATCATAATAAATCTTACTTTTGTTCAATACTTGTTCATTGTTTTCCAGGAGGACGGAGAGGCAAGAAACTTCTCAAGCTAGAGCAGGTAGAGGCGGTCGTCAAATTTATTTTGAATTTCACCGCAGAACACTGCATTAAAATACTCAATCATCTGGCACCTGAATATCTTAATGACACCCTCCAAATATATACACCAACTCGTAATCTTCGTTCAGCAACCGACACATATAAACTTAACATTCCTAAATCTAGACTCGCAGCAGCTGAAAAACGCTTTGCAGTAGCTGCATCAAAAACATGGAACAGCATCCCTCTTTCCATAAGGGAAATTACCTGTCTTGCCACCTTCAAAAGATCCCTCAAAACTCACCTTTTTCCCCAATGATCTATGTGATATACTTCCTGTACTGTACTTTCTTGTCCTCTTTACATATATTTGTATTTGTAAGCGCTATGGTACTTATTGTTTTTAGCGCTCCTAAATATTCGATATTATTATTATTATTATTATTATTCACCTACCAGGCAGGATACCAGGGTTCAAATCGGCTGATGTGAAACTGCTGCCGTCCTACGTCACCAAGGCGCATCTGTGGAGGCTCTACAGAGATGCTGCTCCAGAGCATGGACCCGTAGCTGAGTCTACCTTCCGTAAGCTGTGGAGCGACCTCCTCTCCTATGTGGTTGTTGCCAAGCCGGCCACGGATCTCTGCTGGACATGTCAGCAGAACAACAACCTTATCACCAGACAGGTGTGTGTTGGCTAAATACCGATTGTTTTAAATTTCATTTTGTTTTACGCTGCTGCCCCCAATGGTGCTAAAGTATTTTCACGTAGAGTTATAATATACATGTATATAGCTATTAATGTACCAAGCATAATCAATATTATAATTTGGATCCTTAGGAAAACGTTACAAAGCTCTGTCCAAATTTCAGGTGTTTTAATGAAATGAAATTTGCTACAATACATTTACTCTTTTCTTCTTCCAAGTCAACCAACTTTTACTTTATTGTGAGCTGGTGTTTTCCATTTGAGAATGATCTACTTTGTAGTGTAACAAAAAATATTTAATTTGTAAAGAAAAATAGTAGATGAGAAAATTCGACTAATCAGGAGATTTTTGTTTTGTTTTGCTTTTTCCCTCATGTCTGCAGGTCAATGTTCCTGATGAAGAGAAGACAGAGGCACTCAGGAGGCAGGAGGAGCATCTTCTGGAGGCCCAGAGAGAGCGGGATGCCTACAGGACAGCCTGTCAAGCCTCAAAGGCAGTCGCGAGAGAGCATTCTATCAAGAAGCTAGGGAAAAATGCTGCGAACTCCAAGCCTGTAGTTTTTCATTACAGCTTCGACTTTGCACAGCAAGTGCATTATCCGGCTGACCCCCAACAACCTGGCCCTTCGTATTTCCGTACACAAAGAAAGTGCCACATCTTTGGCATGGCTGCAGAGGGTCTGCCTGCTCAAGTTAATTACCTTGCAGATGAGGGCGTCAGCTGTGGTAAAGGAGCCAATGTTGTTGTAAGCTACATCCACCATTTTCTGGAAAACTACGGGATTGGAGAACAACATGTGCACTTCAATGCTGATAACTGTGCTGGACAGAATAAGAATAACACCATGCTCCAATATCTCTGTTGGCGTGTGGAGAGTAATCTCCACAAATCTGTCTCAATTTCATTTTTGCCAGTGGGACATACTAAATTCGCCCCTGACTGGTGCTTTGGCCTCCTCAAACAAAGGTACCGCAAGACCAAAGTCTCCTGCCTCCAGGACATAGTTAATGTTGTAGATTCTTCTACTGTGTCAGGGGTCAATATTCCACAGCTCGTTGGAAATGAGAAGGGGGATGTGTTTGTGAAGGTGTACGACTGGTCCAACCATCTTGGCAAACACTTCAAACGATTTCCTCGTATAACATTCGCCAGACACTTCAGAGTTACTGAAGATCATCCTGGTAGAGTGTTTTACAAGGAAAAGTCTGACAGTGCTGAAGAGATGTTTGACCTTGCTCGCTCGTCACCTCCACCAACACTTCCTCCACTCATCCAACCTGCAGGACTTGATGCCAGTCGCAGGAAATATTTGTATGAGCAGATCAGAGAGTTCTGTACGCCAGAGACTAGGGACTTGGTATGTCCAGCACCAGAGTAGCTTGGGTCAAACCATAAACTTTAGGTACTTAAATTCCTCTAGGACGTATTCAGCATTGAAGTGTACAAAGTATTTTTTCTGTCTACATGTAATAAGTAGCAGTCACTTTGTCCACTATAGTTTCTGCCATTTCAGTTCAGCAATATAATAGCTTGGATCAAACCATAAACTTTAGGTACTTAAATTCCTCCAGGACGTATTCAGCATTGAAGTGTACAAAGTATTTTTTCTGTCTACATGTAATAAGTAGCAGTCACTTTGTCCACTATAGTTTCTGCCATTTCAGTTCAGCAATATAATAGTTCCATGTGTTCATTTATTCTAAGCTTGATGCATATCAGCACTTAACATCAGCACTAAATTATCGGTGTTTGGCCACTGCCATATGTTTCTATTTGTAAAGGTTTTTGTTAGATTGACATTAACAATGTCTATCCTATGTACATACTATTGATCTCTTCGGCTGTGAATTTTGTATGAAACGAGATAACTCAAAAGATTCAAAACTGTACATCATTAATTCTTGGGCACTAATGCATAATAGTTCATGATTAGTGTAGTCACTAGTCAGATTGCATTTTTTATGGGATTCGTTATTGTTTTTTTTTTACGTTGATAATGAAAGAATATAATTATTTTATATCTGATACTGATTGACTGAAATTGATATTTTTGCATTATTAATCTCTATCTCAAGAAGACAATAGTTCTGTCAAATTGTCTCAACTGTTACTTTATTGTACATTCCTTAATGTACCAGGATATTTTTTACAATACATGTATTATAGGTTATCTGTTGTCGAGTGACTTATAAGTTTTTTTTTTTTTTTTTTAATCTCAAATAGCCTTGATTAAGACTAATGCTTTTTATCATAGCTTTTATTAAATATGACAAAATATAAATCATTTTGAACTCGCTTCTTGTGTTCCAGTAATTATCATTTAAAAAACAGATTCTGTCGGGTTTCAAGTTCAACGCAATTTGTTATTTCACTTTATTGCAATCTTTTTTTTAATATATTTAAAAAAAAAAATCATTTTTATTACATCTGGTTTTGTAATAGGCCTATTATTAAGCATAAATTTTAAGAAAATGCATTATTACATTTTATTATTGCAACATTGATGTAACCTGCTATTATTTTGTGTACGAGAACAATTTTGTACTGATGAAACATAATAAACCGTGGAATCGTTTTCCCAGCAACTTTGCCTAGTGTAACAAAAACTTTGAAATTCTTTTGTTTTCTATTGTTTTTAAAAATTATCATAACTTTATTAATATTTATTCAAATCTAATGGTTTTAACAGAAATGTAAGTTGGGTATGTGTCAAGTATGCCTGAAAAATTACAAGACTTTAGCTTGTTTGGTTGATGCCGTTGCTATGGAGTGAATGTGTGCATGTTTTTTGTGTGAAAATTGAACCAAATTCTTAACTTTAAACCTCAATATCTCATAATTAACTTCCGGTGATTGAAATCACAAAAATGACAATAACTTTGTCAAATTTGAATCAATTTCTTTAAATGAGGTATCATATTAAAGGTCATACCTTACTCTTTCCAATGACACCAAGAACTCAATTTTCATTTTTACCATGAAGTGTTGGGTTTTGCCATAGCAGGTCACATATATCCTAAATATCAGTTGTCTTTAACCTGTAATTGTTTTTTTGTTGCGGGTATGAATCATGACATAAGTAACATACTGACTATTGACATCATGTCACCCACTATCGACTCAGAGGGAAATTATGTGAACACTTGCGTTCTCTTATAAAGTCATTGGTTTAACAGTAATACATAAAACTCTTATATTTCGCATAACATAGCACACATCAAACTTATGGAGCGCAATATATGTATATATAGTTATAATGGATAAGAAAAAAACTAATGTTTGTGGGACATTGATTCATTTTTACATTTTACCTGTACTAAAAAAAATATTGTTCAGATGATGCGAATGTTTCGTTGTGACCATGTACCTGCCCTGCCTGATGCTATTAGTTTAAAGTCTACCAGCAGGGTATTATGCATAAGCATACAAGTATTTTTGGACGTTGCAAAAACAGGTTTTCGGACATAGTCAATCGTCAGGTCACCACATTGGGATTAATTAAAAGGGAGCTGGGAACAATTGTAGAATTAATTTTGGTTTTCTCTCTCAAAATCATATGGGAATAAACATAAGGGCCCTAACATGCATTTCCCAAAGACATTTTCAGTAAAATGAAGCTCAAATAGTGTTCATATATAGATGCACCCTTTCATTGAAGGGAGGGGTTTATTCGGATTTTCAAACATCCTTATTTTTGTACATTACTAGGTTCGGTGTTTCTTTATTCTTGTTTTTGTTCTTGCTGTTTCTTGTTTCTAATTTTGGTATTGTCCCATGACAACCCACTCCAATTCTTAATATATTTTCAAACGACATTGTACTTATATTGCTTTGCTACTTACAATCATTCATAATTCATTTTGTGCCGGGTATAATTGTAGAACTGCAAATAATTATCATATTTTGGCTATTTATCTCTTAATAATTTATGATATGTTCACTGTTTTGGTTATCACAAAATATTTTGTGATATTTCTGTTATTTTGGAATATTGAATGCAATTTAAAGAATTGCATAAACTTGTTTATTTCGTTGTTTATGAATCCTGAATTTCATGTTCTTAATAATCCATCGCATCATGAACAATGTATAACATATGTTCTCTGTTACAGTCACATTTTCTGAATTGAGAGATTATATACAATACCTTACTGGGAGGGTCGGATGTGTGGTGATGTTAGTTGAGTGAGTATAATCTTTGTCGTTGTCATATTCACATAGGCCATACATATATTGACTAAAATCAAATACTATATATATCTTTTAATATCAAATGTAAAAAAAGGTAACTCACGCAAAAAGTGAAAAATAGGTCTGTACTTAGCCAGAATTCAGTAAACGCTCTCAATAAAAGAATATTATTATTTGTTAATCAATTATTTACGACTGAAAAGCGGAATGTGTTATAATATATAATAGAAGAGTTACCTTTCCTTTACAATCATTACGCTCAACCAATAACTGCTAGTTACGGTGTATTGGTAGTTATCTCTACCAGTTAGGTACATCGGGCCTTGCACGTGAAGGAAATAGAGTAAGAGAGAGGAAGAGAGAGAGAGAGAGATGAGAGAGAGATAAATTCGAAACAAATACGCAATGGTGTGACTGAGGCATAAAGCACAAAGAATACTTCGTTCTATTGCATAATAACTACATACAATTTCTTTTATTGTAAGGGTGGCCTTCAGTTGTGATGGGTGGGTTGCAGAATCAAATTTTTATTATCATGAATCCTTTAATCATCACCACGTGAATAATAATGATTCTGAATCGGTGCATTTTCAATTTTCATATAGCTTCAGCCGGACTCATAGTTTATTTTACCAACAATGGATCAGTTTGGTGAAGACGATTACAGGTAAGTTTGCTCCTAATCATATTCCTTAAAGGTAGGTAGGAAAATAAACTAAGGGCATATGGAGCGATTATTTAATTTATACACACCATAAACACCACAATGGAGTGATATACACCACCGCATTGATTAAAAGAATGAATATAATTAAAGAGATGAATGAATCAATAAAGTTCTGAGCTAGGTTACTTCCACGCATGAAAGTTTGTTTTATACAGGTTGGTAAATTGTGTTTACATAGGTGACGATTTGTGTTATTTGAACTGCTATCAAATGAATAAACATCAAACAACAATGACACCTGATACAGAAACAATTTTGGCTAGGACATGAGACATACGAGGAACAACCATTATTAATTGCATATTACATGCTTATTTCTACAAGAAAATTTACATTGAATTCAAGTAGATATCTATATTATCCATTATGTCATATTATCAAGTACTATATTACACATCTGTAATCCTGTTCGTCGAATCTAACATGCCCTTTGTCCGTTCATTTTGTATATCGAATTCCCTTTTTTTCCTTCGTGAAACACACGCTAATACTTAGGCATGTTTAATGCAATATGCCTATGGGATTCTCTTTATTTCATTCTTTTCTTTAAAAAATAATGTTGTATACATCATTTCACTAGTCTTTACATTGACGATAGTTCGTCAGAACCATGTTCATGGATTGCAATTGTTGTAGCTAAATTTTATAAACAATGTCATCCTGCTATTTCATCTTCTCATAATCCATGTGTATTGTCATAGTTGTAAATGTATGAGTATCTCCTGACTCTCCATGTTAACTCCCTATTCCACCTCTTCTGCAGTCTCCTTCCTTTATCACCCCTCCCCCTCTCTCTCTCTCTCTCTATCTCTCGCTTCCTCAATCCTTCTCTCATTTACCAGTTCTACTTGTTACAACCCTTAACAAATGGTGGTATATTATGCGCGCATACAACATGTTTAGTGACAATACAAGAAGGCACAGAGATGAATGAAATATTACGAATCGATCCATACTCTGGTGTCAAAATACACCCCCAGAAAAAAGGGATTAGGTGACAAATGTGTAGCATATAGAGGTCATAAAACGATTAAACGACTTGTTTTAATCAAACTAAATATGTTTGGATTGGATAGATCGCATCCCTTCATGTGCCATGCTTACTTTCGGCGGAAGTGAAGACACCAATGAGGCAATAAATAAACTAAAGGAGCTCGGGGTCATTCACATCTATGAAGTTCCATGTTCTGATCACGTTTCTTCAGATGAGGAACAGTTGAAATTGCTAATACTTCTACATGGATGCCTCCAAGAAGGTGACAGAGTGTTAGCAATTAATGAACTGACAAAAATATGCACGAATCCAAGATGTAGGTTGCTCTATGAGAAAACCAAGAAAGAGATGAAAGAAGCAAATCAGAAGATGGTCAAAGAGGTCGAAGAACGCAGACACGAAATTCAGGAGCTGAAATGGAAACTCGAGTCTACTTCTAATGAGCATCGTATGGAGCAACTTGAGCGTGAGAACGGGAAACTGAGAACCACAATTCAACTAGAAAGTGAGATACGATCAGCAGAGCAGAAGAGGAAAGCAGAAACACCTCGATGGATGCAAAGTTTGATTACCTGGACGAATTCTGGAAAGCTTGAACAGAGTGGTAAGACTATTTTCCGATATTATTATGCACGTCTGTATATACTACCATCTTAATATGTTTATAGTATTACTGTTTCATCTTCAGCCTTTGGTTACGTTACAAAGTGAATTTAATTTTCAATTGTCGACATTGTATACCAATTAATCTGGAATTAGTCTGCAGACCTAACTAGGGTAATACAATAATTATGGGTAGTACCAGGCGCATTCGCAATGGGGGGGGGGGGGTTAATTTTAAAAAAATATTTATAAAAATCCTAATGGATGACATAAAAAAAAATGATCTTACCCCCCCCCCCCCCCCCCCCAACGAAACGGAATGTCGATCGGTCAAATGTTGAAATTTCGGGACCCCCCCAAAAAAAAAATTAAAAAAATTAAAATTAAAAAATAAAACAAAATAAATAAATAAATAAATAAATAAATAAATAAAATAATAATAATAATAATAATTATTATAATAATAATAATAATAATAATAATAATAATAATAATAATAATAATACAAAATGACCTCTTACCCCCCCCCCCCCCCGCCCGCTTATTCAGCGGCTGGCTGAGTCGTTGCGAAATGTTTGGCCCAATTTCAAAATGTTAACCCCCCCCCCCCCTTGAAAAAAACCTATGTACGCCACTGGGTAGTACATTATTTTGTGATGATACGATTTTATTAATTTCGTTAGTTTATGTTGTGCAAATAAATAGATACTGACATTAACGATCTGATCATATCAAACTGTCCTTAATTATTAACCGTTTTATTTCAATTACATCCAAATATTCTACGTTCATGGCAGAGTTAAGTTCTTCTGAAGATAATTCAATTGGACAATGCTATCCATCGAAAAGGAGTACTACATCAGAAGCAGAGTAGATTGAAACAGATTTTGCATGTCGGTTTACTACACCTGATGTTCCAGGTATTAGGTATTCTAGCTTGAGGGCCCATTTCCATTACAAAATGTAAATCATATTGAACATCTTCTTTTTCCCTTTATTCTTCTTCTTTCTCATTCTCCTCATCTTCCATCTAATTTTTCTTTTTCTTCTTTCTTCCTGCCCTTGTTTCTGTTCGTCGTGTTCTTTTTCTTGTTATCATTATTTCCGTGTGGGAATAATAGTATTATTTCCTTAAAAGGCAAACGCTTATAACCTTTAAATTCCTTATTATGTATCAATTTGTGGTACATAATTCTGCTAAACGAAACCCGATAGAGAACTTCGTTTAATTGTAATGATTATTTCCATCATGGCAGATTTTAACTTGTATCCGCTTACCTTTTTTGTTAAAGCGACAACAAAATGCATGTCTTCTATTTTCTCTAACTATGCTGATTTCTAAAGTATATTCCAACGTGAAACTACCCAATGATGAGTTTGCAGAAATCTTGAAGCAGATAGCTGACGATCTTTCCGATGAGGCCAAAATCGATAGCTTGGGTAGTCAGCTTGGAATCCTACAGGGTGATATAGCAAGAGCTCTCAAAACCAACATGAGATACGAACAGGTCACTAGTAGAGGAACCCATCTCATGCTGAAACAATGGAGAAGAGGTGTGTCCAGGGAAGATGAACGGATGGAACTGAGGAGGGCGCTTGTGGCTGCCAAATTGCTAGACCTTGCTGACCGTTATATTCCACAAGGTAAGGTTATCATAAAATTGGTTTAATAATTTGATTTGGTTCGTGATATAATCAATATAAAGAGAAAATTAATGTCTACTGTCTGCCTGCTTTTCCACGTAACCAGAACTAAGGAGAACATATCGTTAAGCCGCCTTAATCATGAATACTCTCTGTTTTCATCCGCCTGATAATGTCACTTTACAAATAAATATGTAACATGAATAAGGGTATGCCGGTTTCGTGGTTGTTATTTGTCTATATGTCGTTTGTCAGATTTTGTCTATTTTTAAAAAATAATTAATTAATTAATTTATTTATTTATTTATTTATTTATTTATTTATTTTAATTTTTTATTTATTTATTTATTTATTTTAATTTTTTATTCATTTATTTATTTTTTTTATTTTTTTATTTTTTTTTAATTTTTTTTTTTTGGGGGGGTTGGGGTGTTGCTGAGAGTACACTATTCATTATTTATTCTGGACCAGCTCATGTTGAAGAGCATTGATGCTAGTCTTGATAAATACCATCTCCCGAAACAGGAACAGGAACAGGAACAGGAACAGGACCAGGACCAGGACCAGGACCAGGACACTCTCAGAAAATGGAAGATTCTCACCAGCTATCCAGGATAGATAGCACATCTGCAGCGCAATGTTCCTCAGGAGGACAAACCAGCGTGTCTTCTAACGAGCCGTTTGGAGAGGGAACTAACACATCTGATGAAGAGGGTGTAGAAGATAACGGCATCAACTATAGCGACTTGCTCTCTAACATCGCCTTGACCGAGACATCTTCGGAGAATCTAGTGATGCTTTTATTCATAAAAGTAATCATTGATGTTCGTCAAAAAGCCTTTAAAGAATAAACCCTTTCGGACAACCTTTATTGTGACTGTATATATATTTTCTACACATTTATATGTGAATTTAACTTGCTTAAAGATTAACCATAGTGACAATTACAAAACTTTACATTGGCAGGTGAACAACTATGACTATACCGAGATATGATTCTCCTGGATCTTGTATACTCATGTTTATGTTACCATTATGCTTCCTAAATACAAATGTTGGATAGTCTAACAGATTAATACGATTCTTTTAAAGTATTAATACTGAGGTGCCCTTAAAAACAAATTCTATTCCTATGCAATAGTAAGGTATAACATAACAATATTTTGACATACGGATAGTCAAATACATAAAGTCTATGTGATGTTCACGCTCGTACGCCTGCGTCCTCACAGTAATGAGGGCTTAAAAATATAATGTAAAAAACTGTAAGTGACTTAATCAAAGTAACAAAAACATAATTCTCTTATTAAGACTTTACTTTAAATTACAAACAAATAAGATATCATTTTGTTCTCCCCAATAGTATTTGGAGTGATTATTATACCTTTAAATGTGAATGCCTATATTTCATGTGCAAATGCAAAGGTTGCCTTATATTATGTGTACGTTATCAGTACACATGACATAAGAATAATAAAGGTTTCGGAAACGTAAGGAAAACATAGATATTAATTTTACTATATACTATCAACTATGAAATTGTAATTATCTCATGCATAGCAGATTATTGAAGTATGTGTAGTATAGGTAGAAAATGCACGATTTATATTTAAATGTTACACTCTGCTTTTTTAGAAGACTCACTGTCCGTGGCCATTATGATAAACTGTGATATATCTCTGTATAAGTATGATCTATCTTGTACCACTTTATAATAATAGTACATTTATAAAGCGCAGAAACTATCCAACATTAGGTATATATTCTACTGCGCTACAAGAGCTCCTGATATGCTTAGATTTACGGTACAGTTAATTAAAAAGAAGTGTTTTCAGTTTTGACTTAAAGACGTTTACAGATGGTGATTTCCTGACTTCAAATGGCAAGTTATTCCAGAGTTTTGGGGCTGCACAAGCAAATGCTCGATCACCTAGCGTTATTTTTGTTTTGATAGATGGGATCTGTAGCAACAAAGTATCTCGGGAACTGCGCAAGTTGCGATTGTGTTGATTAGGTTTGAAATTCAACAGTTCTTTGATATAAGTGGGAGCTTGACCAAGAAGTGCTTTATATACAATCAGCAAGATTTTGAATGTTATTCTCTGGCGTACTGGTAACCAATGTAGATTTCTCAAAATTGGGGTGATCCGTGTGAATTTAGAACAACCACAGATCAGCCTTGCACAGGTGTTTTGAACCCGTTGCAATCTCACTATTTGAGAGTCAGGGATCCCATACAGTAGACCATTACAATAGTCCAGCTTATTGGTAATACATGCATGTACAATGTCTTTCGTAATGTCCTTATCTAAATATTTACGAATACGTCTGAGATTATAGATCATGTAGTATGCTGATTTACAGACATTTGTGATGTGCTCTCTCATATTCAAATTCGAATCGAACTGTACTCCAAGATTTCTTGCACTAACAGATGGTTCTATTACAGAGTCTCCAATTGATACACTGTTCAAGTTGATTTTGGATGTCTGTTTAGGTGTGCCAATGATCATTAATTCAGTTTTACCATCATTAAGCATGAGCCTATTTTGCAACATCCATCCACGTACATAGTCAACACATGTTTCTAGGAGTGAGACACATCGCTCTTTAGCATGTTCATCAGGTCTGAATGATACGTACAGCTGTGTGTCATCTGCATAGCAGTGGCATGATATCTCGGGGAAATTTGTTCGAACATTTGAAATGAGATTAGCAGTGTACAGAGTAAATAACAAAGGACCCAGCCGAGAACCTTGTGGAACTCCGAAAGGCACTGGCAAATCATCAGAGATCACATCGTCTATTTTGACCTTCTGATATCTATTCGCCAAATACGACTCTATCCATTCAAGAACACTACCATCTATACCAAAACAGGTCTTTAAAGTTTCTAATAAGCAAGAATGATCTATGGTGTCGAATGCACTACTTAGATCTAATAACAGTAAAAGAGAGACTTTCTGGGAATCCATAGCCATCAATAAATCACTCTTTATTCTTAGCAGTGCGGTTTCAGTACTATGGAATTGTCTATATGCAGACTGAGTACATGGCAAAAGTGAGTTGTTATTGAGGTGATCCATAATTTGCTGGGTAGCAGCACCCTCAACCAACTTCGATATATATTTCAGATTGCTGATAGGTCTTAAGTTCTTAAAATCTGCGTCAAGACCAGGTTTTTTCAATAAAGGTGTGATGAGGGCATTTTTCCATTGCATGGGAAAATGACCAGTCGAGAGAGAAAGATTAATCAATGATGTGAACACAGGAATTAATATGTCGATACATTGTAGAAGAAGTTTCGTGGGCATAGGATCTAAAGAGCATGACTTCTTACTGAGGTTAAGTATAAGTTTTTCAACTTGGTGCTCAGAAAGAGGTTTGAAATTGCTCAAAACATCGACATCATGGTAAGTTGCTAATGGAGAATAGGTCCTGGGTTCATTCATTGCATCTAATCTAGTTTCAATATTCTTGTGGATTTTAACGACTTTGTCACGAAAATAATCACCTAGGTCATTCACAAACTTATGTTTATCAGTACTACAAGGTATCAGGGGTTGTTTATTAGACATGTTCAATAGAGACTTGACAACATTGAATAACTTGTTTTGATTATCCTTATTTTCCATGATCAGATCTCTGTGATATTTTCCACGAGCTTTGTTCAAAAGTTTCAATGTTGCATTTCGAACAGACTTATAGTTGTCCCAATCACTATCGGCCCTGGTTTTCAACCAGCGCTTTTCAGCCTTTCTCTTTTTCCTTTTTTCTGTCCTGACACAGTCAGTATACCACGGTACTTGGGGACGTAACACTATCTGTTTAGTAACAACAGGGGCATGTTTCTCTAAGATATCACTAAGCGTAGTATCATACAACAAAGCTAGTTCAGTGAGGGTACTAGGTGTGTGCATACAGAGCTCGCTTTCAGCGATGTCTAACTTCAATCTATTCACATCAATAGCAGACAGCTTTCGAAATGATATCAGTTTAGAAGGCAATGGAGGTTTAGAAGAGTTTAGAAAACACATGACTGGAATGTGATCAGATAATATAGAACTATGTGGCCATGGTGACCCAAATACGATATCATCAGACTGACGACATATCATGAGGTCAAGGGTGTGACCGTGTACATGTGTAGAGAAATTAACCAATTGTTTACAACAGAGCGATTCGAGAAGATCTACAAAGAGTCTAGCATCTGCATTGGCAGTATCCACATGAATATTGAAATCTCCTATGATTAATAAAGGAGTGTTTGACAACAAATGACATTGAATGTAGTCATTAAATTCTGATACAAAAGATGTAACCGTCACTGGATGTGATTCAGAATAGGGCGGTCTATAGATATTAATTAGTTGCAAGCGAAATGATTTACATGAGATAGAATATTCTGCAAACTCAAAGGAGTCCTTTTCACCCGCAGCAACTTGATGGACGTTGATTGTCTCTTTATAAGCGAGACCGGTTCCACCACCACGACGGCCCATCCGTGGTTGGTGAACAAAACGATATCCAGTAGGGATGAGTTCATGCAGAACCGTTGCATCATTGTCCGTCAGCCAGGTTTCTGTCATGGCAATCAGGTCCGCGTTGCTATCGCATATGAAATCATGTATCAGAGCAGTCTTGTTACAGACAGACCGTACATTTACAGAGCAAAGTTGAAAGTTCGAAGATGGATTACCATGGCTCTTCCGTCTGATACTGTTCTTTCTTTGGCCACCCCGAGATCCTCTGCGCGTTCTCCTTCGATGAATTCCAAGTGACTGAATGATATCATTGACGTCCTGGGGAAGCTGAAACCTTGGATGTCTCCATTGCAAGAGTTCGGCTGGGGGATACTTAGTCGCATGTTGAAAATGATGATCAGTATGATGTCTCACTGATGACGAGAGTGTATCACCGTCTTCCCTATCCGGCCCTGGATTGGGATGAACATCTCCAGCATGCAGGAGTTCTAGTTGGAAGGAAGCTGTACAGTTTGGATGGTAGGAAATTCTTCTCTTTAGAAAGTGCTTTCTAGTGAGAAAGTGCTTTCTGGTGAGAGGACCATATTGAATGGGCTGTACAAAAGATTCTTCACTACATTGCACAAAGTAAATCACTGAGGCACCTAAACATAGTGCAACAAAGACACTAAGATGAATAGACCTCATTGTGTTTTGATCTGTAATCCCTACATTCAAGTTCAATAAAGCAGGCTATGTACAATAGCTAATGGTACTTACATAGAAATACACAGGAATACATGGCTACCAAACTACTGGAGATACAACCAAATCCAAAAACTGATACATCAGAATATGACATAAAAACAACACTTCATGAACTCCAACTTGTCTAGTAGTTTCCAGGTTACTAATACAAAAAGATGGTAACATAAAATTGTACAAATACATAAGAATAACAAGCAATCAGGAGCTCTTTTTGGAGAGCAAGCAAAGGACATGTGCAAATGCCTATGCCTATATAATACTTACTATATACTTACTATATGCCTATATAATACTATATGCCTATATAATACTTACAAATATATCACGTTGAGCACACAGTAAAATAAAATAAAGTCATTGCCGTAATAATAATAATAATAATAATAATAATAGCCCAATAGTCCACTCCAAATTTTATTAAACCGAAACGGAAATTCTTTTTGCCCAATTGATCGTGAGCCCGGCAGCCACTGAGCAGCGCCAGATCGACTTTGCTCTATCCCTTAATGTTGAACGCCAAACAAGGTAGCAACAACTCCCATCTTTTAACGTCTTTTGGTATGACGCGGCCGTGAAAATACATTACGTAGTAAACTCAACTTTGTATAGAAAAATAAGTTTAAATACATTGAACATGAAATACTCTCTGTATGATAAATTCGTTTGATGCAACAAATACTTACTGTTTCCCACCGTAAATATTATTTTCTAACAAAGAGTGATAATGAGCATTTTATGTTTTATTTTACCGTAAAATTTCCATAGATATCATTTGTACTTCGATTAAAAAAAGGAAGAAGAAGATATCGCTGGATATACTTACTGCGATGTGACTTGTTTCGGAAAAAATCACTATTCCACGTTGCAAACCACTTTTGTAGAAGTAATATTTCGCTATGTATGTTATTTGCATGATTACACATTTTAGTGACTTTGACGTTTAATTTACGTCTGATGTATTTTGTCTATTTTTATGAAAATCTAAGTTCACTAGTATCGTATCTTTAAAGCTAACGTACAACCACAAGCAAACACCTTGTTGGAATAAAGTGACATACAAAATACGCGTATGTAGCTGGACAAGTGAATAGAAGATACTAAAGAAAAAAATAATCAGAAGACAGGTATACACGTTTTGTGCACTGATCCTATTTATTTATAACATTTGAAAAATGCTGAGTCTTACAAGTATCGGGTATAACTTTGTAGTAGTAGCCCAAATGTGTACAAAATTCACACAAAGTTAAAGAGAAGGTTGAGTTCTAGGAAAAGGTGAAAAATAATTTGTGAACTTTATCGTTCTTATCATGCAATTGTGGAAGAACATCAGATAAGACATGTTCCCTAAAAAGCATGGCTCTTCAAATGCCTTCATATTCTAAATATTGCATGTAACATCGTAAAACTCGGGGGTAGGATTTTTACGCTACGTGTTCGTGTAGTCCCATATACATCTTTCTGTGCACAGTGTTTGTAA